TTTAGGGTCTAGGGATTTAAGGTTTACGGTCCTAAACTTCCCCAAACCCCAAAACCTCCTTCAAAAGCCCAAGTTGCCGACAGGGAGTACTGAGTCTTGGACATGCAGATCGGCAGGCCTGGGCCGGCGACTGTCGACTTCATTTTGAAGCCGAGATGCTAAAGTTCAGCGTTTAGGGTTTTCGGGTTTGAATTCGGCTACCCAGTAGCCCCAAAGTCTAGGAAATAGAAGTCTTCAGCCGTATAGTTGTAGGGTACACCGTCTAGCACCCCGTAGGTAGATGGTATAACGATAGAACCCTTAACAAAGTCGAATGCAAGCAGGAACTGCTCGGATCACTTTTTCAAAATGCGGAGCATTTTCGGTGACTTCGGAGGCTGTTAAGCCACGGCCATGGCACTGCAAAGCGGCGCTTGAAGCTGTTACGAGGCTTTGAGCTCTTTTTGTGGTTTGGTTTGCAGGCATGTGGCTTTTGAGCGCTTGCGAGTAAAAGTTTCGAGGGCCTTTCGGATTCCGGCTTTCTTCTCCCTGACATCGAAAAGCGTCAGAAGGCCCCTGAGTCCTAAAGCCCTGCAATTCATGGGCACGCTTCCTAGCTGCTAGCAGACTAACAGCAGCTGGTGAACCTGATAGTATGGCCAGGGCCTGCGAAGTAGCAGTAACCCAGCTGGAAGCCCTGAGCTGCCCTGCTCTAGCCCCTGAGCCCCTGTCAAAGCGCTCTGCCCATCCCCTGCCGCCCTCTCCCTGTAACCAGAAACCCGAAGCCTCCCAACCCCGAACTACCCACGCACCCCGCGGAATTCAATCTCAATTTCGTGGTCGCTACTATCACTGCCCGTTAAGAAGGCCCAAAGCCGTGCCTCAAGCGAGTGAGCCAGAAACCAGAAATCCTCCAGCCCGAAACCCGAAAGCCTACACCCTCCCCCCCCCCCCCCCCCGAAATCGTAAACCCGATACCCTTATAAACCCCTTACTGCAACCCTTAATAAACCCTAAGTCCTAAACTGTCCTAAATCCCGAAACCCCCTCTTTGAGACCCACCCCCCAAACAACCCAGCAACCCTAATAGATCCCCTATAGAGGACCCTTTAATAGCTCCCTTTAAGGGAAGTCTCAGGAAACCCGAAACCCGCCCCCTAAACCCTAAACCTAATCCCGAA